GAATAATGGCATTTGTTCTCTTGTCCTTCCAGCGAACTATGGAGGATGGAACATACATTACTGTTCATTGGTGAAAGTTTTGAAGTGCCTTGAGGTGCCTCCTGTATGTAACCTATGTCTGAATGTCATATAGCAGGGTAGGGTGGACCCCTGCTCGATATACGTGCAGCTTTGTAGATAATTTCAGCTCCCTTTAACTGAAGACATGGGTACGAAGTCTGCCAAAACCTTGAGATGCGCATCTGATCCGATGTTGAATCTTTTCATCGATGTCCGCGGTGGTGGACAGGTGGTACCCGAGCTACTGAAAGTGTGTAACATTAATTCGCTTTCAGTGTGAGTGACGAGGGTGAGGTCGTCTGCATACTGAAGTTCAGTAATGGAGCTGCCAACACCTTTGATCCTGCCTAGAGTCGTCTAAGTTGAAAAGACCCTTCATCTGTTGGCTAAATTGGCACTTGCACGAACAAGAGAGGCAGCCAAGTAAATGGAAAGAGAGTTGGTACCAGTACATACCTTTGGCTTACCCCCGTTTGGGTGGGGAAGAACTCAGACTGGGTGCCATTGTGCAGAACACTGCCGTTCATGCCATCGTGGAGTTGCCTCACAATAGCAATGAATTTTGGTTGGCAGCCAAAACGACTGAAGGCTTCCCTTTTGACCTAGTCGAAGACCTTGGTAAGGTCGATGAAGGCCATGTACAGGTCACGACGCTGTTTTCTGCACTTTTTCTGTATCTGGTGACAGCGAAGATCATATCAGTTGTGCCATGTGATGGTCTAAGCTCTAAGGCCACTGAGATTTTGGGAGGAAATTTTCCGGATCAGGAAGAAGTCTCTTTAGGAGGACTTGAGTGATAATCTTGTTAGTTACGGACAGTCACGAGATCCTGCAGTAGTTACTATAATCTGACTGGTCTCTATTCTTCTTACAATATTGAGGATGGAGGCGTCTATAAGAGCTTGGGGAATTTCCTCCTTTTCCCATATATTCTCCAAGAAAGAATGGAGACAGCTGGTAAGCGGAGGACCTCCTGCTTCATACACCTCGTCTGGGATTCCATCAGGCTCTGAGGCTTTGATATTTTTCATCTGTTTGTTGGCAGTAACTACCTCATCCAAGGATGAAGGATAGCTGAGGTTGCTCAGTTCTGAGTGCTGAGGGACCTGCTGGGTAGTCAGGATATCCATATTGGTGTTTCAGTTGGGCAGCTAATGGTAGTGCTCTTTCCAGTACTGAAGGATGCCCTTTTCGTCTTTAATTAGGGAGTTACCGTCAGATGAGCAAAGGGGAACTGTGCCATGAGCGAGTGGGCAATAAAATGTTATAGTGGAATTGAAAAATTTGGGCATCTTGTATTGATATGCAAGTTTTTGCATTTCTCATGTTTTATTTTTCAACTATTCGTTGTTTAGGTTGCGATATTTGCACTGGGCCACCGCCTTCTTCTTGTGGAACGTATCTGCTTATTACGTTGATTTCCGAGTCATTTTCATCAAAACAGCCCTGGTGCATTATTTCGATCTGGCCGAGGGTCTCTGCATGGTTTTTATCATGACAGTATCGAAAATACCCCATATGGAACTGAGATTTGGGTTGTTTCTTGTCAGACTGTTTATCTATCCATGTTCGAGCTACCACTGGATCCTCCTGATGCTTATTGTTAAAACCTCTTCTGGAAGCTTTGTTGCTTTTGCCGTTTTGGGGCGACGTGAAGTGAGAGTTTGACACTCATGAGCCGATGATCAGTATCACAGTAATCTGAGCCACGCATGGCTCAGGTGATGAGGACATCTCGGCTAATTCTTTCTCTGACAATGATGTAGTCAATGTTATGTCAGTGTTTGGATCGTGAGTGTAGCCACAAAACCCTTGAGCTTGTCGGCCTGCCTAAACACGGTAGTGATGAAATTGAGGTTGTGTGCAGCACACTTGCTGTTAAGGAGCAGGCTGTTGGAATTACACTTGCCTACTCCGTTTCTCTCTATGATTCCCTGCTATATGTCAGCATCTCTTCCAGCTCTGGCATTTAAGTCACCTAGGAGCACAACCTTATCTTCTCTGGGGATCGAGGCTAGCACTCTGTCAAGGTCAGCATAAAAGGCTTCCTTGCTGCCATTCTCTGCATCCAGTGTTGTCATATGCACTGACGAAGAAGGCATGACGTAAGTGATTCAGTGGGAATCGGAGCATCATGAGGCACTTGTTGATCCCAACAGCTATTTCAGTTAACCTGCGTAGGATGGATTGGCGAATGGCAAATCCAACTCCATAAATGCGGTTTCTCTCCTCAACAGGTTTACGCTTCCAGAAGAAGGTATAATCATGCCCCTGTTCTGTGAGTCGACCCTCGTGAGGGAGCCGAGACTCACTAATGGCTGCTATGTCGATGTTATACCTAGACAGCTCTTTTGTCACAAGAGCAGTTTTTTCAGGACGTTCATTTGTGCCAGTATCCAGAAGGGCCCTGACATTCCATGCAGTGACCATAAGAGATTGTATAGTTTGTTTTTTTCTTTGGTCTGTGATTATGATTGTGTTTTAGACAGCATAAGGGTGACCTTGCTAGGTGCGGTTGCCCAGTCAGGCTGGTTCTTTAGGCAGGCTAATTTTAGGGCACCTTTTCTAGCCCCCTCCCCATGTGGGTGAGCAGAGTGGCTCCTCGAAGGGGCTGGTAAGTCGCATAGACAGGACCGGATTGCGCTGCTGCCAAGATCCCAGCACATAAACGACCATCTCAACTATGCCAGCCCTGTGCAGAGTTGTGACTAGAGACCGCCGGCAGTCATCTCTGCCTGTCCCCGTCGCCACCGTCCGTCGCCATAGGGCTTTTCGCGGTATAGGGATATAGAGCAATGGGGGATTTGATGATGAGAAGTACTGTATGATGAGCTAGATGATGGCTGCGAGTGAGTTTATTTATGTAATGAGGCAGGAGCGGAGGCTGCAACCACACATCTTCGGCTCTCCCTTTTACTGATTCCATGGTGCAAGTAAATGGGAATTGCCTTAGTAACTTGTCCTTCTTGCATTGCCTTTATTCGCCGGTGAGTCATTGGGTTCCCATGTTGGTTACCTCTTCCGCCTATACCGCCGTTGGGGTCTTACCGGAGCTTTGTAAGCATGTCTGTCTGGGGCCCACTGCTGCTTCGAGTTCCCCTGTTGATCTAGCCAGGGCCCACGAGGCACCCAGTTACAGTGTGTTGCCACGAGGAGGCAGAGTAGGAGTCTTGGTGGTGAAGAGGCTGTTTACTGGCAGGGGAAGACTTATGCAAGTTGCTTCCCTGCTCGCCGTGAGGGCTTGCCTTTCGGTAGCTGAAAGCGAGTGGAAGCAAACAGTGCTTGCATCTTAACACTAACATAATGCTGCCACACTATACTCATTACACCATCCTGCCCTCGCGCGCACACACACACACACACACGTACACGTCAACACTACCATCACGTCAAAACCATGGCAACACTACCACCACGCCAACACATCCACCACGTCCACACCACGTCAAAACTACTACCACGCCCACACTACCACCACGTCCACCCTACAGTATCACCACGTCAACATTACTACCACGCCAACATTACTACCACGCCCTCACCTAGTCCACACTACCACCTCGTCCACACTACCACTCCGTCCACACCTAGTCCACACTACCACCTCGTCCACACTACCACTACGTTCACAGTACCACCACGTCTACACCACGTTAACACTACCACCACGTCTACACTACCACCACATCCACACAACCACTACACCGTCACTACCACCACGTCCACATTACCGCCACACTCGTACTACAATACAACTATATCCAATCCTACACACCCTCATTACCACAACATCACCACGTTCATACCACATCACATCCACTTTTATTGAGCCATTACTACTACCACACCACAACCACGCTCACACTACTGGCAAAGGTGTGGGTTCATTATAAGGTCATTATTTCGTAGGAAAGAAAAATTTCTTGTGTATTCCTGACAATTTCTTGAAAAACAAATCTTCTCACTTATTGGTCACCGTCTAGATTTATACTCTGATGAGAATAATATTTCCAACCATCTTGAATATGATTTCCAGGAATAATGCAGAGTCGTGATTCTTTTCTAGAGACGCCTCTCCAACACAACAATATGAAGTACTGTATATTATTATTCCCGTGTTCTTTTTTTCTTTTTTATCTATTACTAGTTGCGGCAAGTAGGATCAGCTGTTTACTCTTCCACATCCCGTTTATAACATGCACTCACCATGGAGTCTGTAGATACAATATTACACAATAAGTCAGTTAGGCACATGACGCTTTATCCTTGCTTCTGGTCGTTGTGATGACACTTTCATGTCACTTTCTACATTTGTCATGCACCATCCTCACCTACCATCCCCTCCCTGTCTTGAGGTTTATCTTTTCCTTGATACACCGCAGACAATTAAAGTAAGAGAAGAGTAAAAATAATTAAGAATAAAACTCTAATACAAAGGCATCTTGTCACGGCCACAGTTTTATTAATGATACATAATTTAGGCTTTAAGCCGGACGACAAACATCAAGTATAAATAACCACACAGTATTAGGTTCTCTTGATATGAACAATACCAGTAAGCTCGCCGGTAGAAGCTCTTAAGGGTAAATAAAACAAACTTGTGTGCGGAGTTACAAAATAAATCACGGTATGTGTTTGGTTCTAATTGGTTGTATTTTCTTGATAATTAGTATTCATGTTACTACTGTATGTATATTCTGTATGCTGTATTTATATTATGCTATGTATATTATGTATGTGCTCCATTTATGTATTATTTATTTAGCCTAGCTAGTAGCGTGTGGCAATGTATTTATCAATGTCCCACATGCTTAATTAATGTGCCTGGCGACGTATGGAAGCTGCTAATGTATCACTTGCCATACGTCGTCTATAGAGCAGTTGACAAGCAGATAGGTTGAAGAGTGCTACTCCCCTTGTGTACATATCTCTTATCCAGTAAATCGAACCTACAAAATCTATACAGGTGTTTGTGTTCGCTCCTGTATATTGAACTTATTACCCAGAACACGAACAACTACTACTTCTACAAATACTATTACTTTTATATTCATTAATATTGTTCTGAATATTTCACATTCTATCATTATTCATTAATTGAAGTGTAATTAAGTATCATTCTTAACGAAATGAGATTTCAAATTAATTCTTACAAGTCTTATCAATTCAAGGTGTTTATGAAGCCCTCAACAGTTTTCCCTTTGGGTAGGTAAAACACAGCCTCCATGTCCATACCCTTCACGAAGCCCAACTCCTCAAACTTCACCCCATCCCTATTATAAGAGGTGCTGAAAGCAAAATACGGAAGGAGGCCATCCCTATATATCTTGGGAATTAGGCGCAAAGCGAAAGAACTTAGGCCTTGACCACGGTACTCTGGCACGATGAATTTGTTGCCTAACATCCCGTTGTTGTATAAATAACACCACCCCACAAGTTGGTCTTCAGAGGCGGGATCACTATCTCCCCGCTTACGGAGAGCCACTGACGGGACGCTCTGGAGCAAAGTCTCAAGGCCAGTCTGGCTTTCAGTCCATCGGTATTTCCAGGACGACATCACCGTTGGAGTGTCCTTAGGCCGAAGAGTGTCCAGGTAGAATCCTTCAGGAATGCTGTACTGATAGAGAAAAAACATGTAAATTATATCGAAAATAAGAAGCAAGAATACAATAGGTAAATAAGGAAAACTACAAATGTACATTAATAAAAGCTAAATATATGCTAATAAGGACATTAAATAGATTAAACTCTGAGTACGAGGATCTAAATTCTTACACTCACAGGTTTCTGATCTTCTTACTCAAGGGGATAAAGTTCTGTCTGAAAACAATGATCATTTAACTTACTGGTAATGAGGCAGTTTTGTGGCCCGATGTACAAGCATACGGGAATCATCGAAAATATGAGCCTCAACGTCTCTATCACCGAGTAATTGGTTCTTCGCCATGCTCACCAGCTGTAGGGAGGTAGATTATATATATATATATATATATATATATATATATATATATATATATATATATATATATATATATATATATATATATATATATATATGCGCGTCGTTTGCTGTCACAAGATAGCAAAATATAACTAAAGTAGTTTAAGTAATGTTAAGTAAGATTGATCCACATTATCGTTTAGGACCTGTTAGACGTTTCCAAAAAAGAAAAAATACGTAAAAGTTGTCGACAATCGGCAATTATCGACAATTATGAATGACCGGGGCTCGGTAATGATACATAACTCTACCTTATTGGAGATTAACTGGAACTGTTACGAACGAACCTTGCTGGAGATGGTCTTGGGACTGATACTAAAGAACACAGGTTTCCTCCAGTCCAACCCAGGCAACGAGCCAAGCATCCTTGCCACCTCCTCATCCTTCTCTTCCGTGTTCCAGAACACTGACAAACTCTGCACCTTTTTCTGGACGACACAATACAAGAGGTTAATATACGGGCACCACAGTTACCCCACAGACCTGACAAACAAAGTTTTGTGCAACAATTATGCAAATTTAGGTAAACAACCGTAAATGTGAGCTTGACAAGGTGTACCTACAGTTCCGTGTAACAGAGTGGTGATCCATTGACATTAATTTCATCAGTTTAGGCATTGAATCTTACAGTTTGGATGTTAGTTAGTGTGAGGAGGACATTGATGTTACTCTGCAGTAGGTCTTACTGTGAGGTCCAGTCCTGGTTTACTCTCTTCGTCAAATCTGACTCCACTCCACTGGTGCCTCAGCCAAGCCTCCCATTCATCATTCTTAATTAAAATAAATATTTGTTCAAGCCCCTTTCTTTATTTTAACCTAATATTATTGGGATAATTTATATGATTATCGATGGTTTACTTAATTGAAGTCGCATTTGCAAGGAGGAACATTTCTTTATTGTTCTTTATTGAGGTATTAGATGATGGGCAATGGATACCAGGTATTGGGAGAGAGACAGAGGAAGAAAGATGATGCGATAATGGGAACACGCGACAACCTCCCTTATTGTTATATGAATTACTGATATACAGTTATGGGTGAGTGAATCTGATGTGTTCTAGTCTAGTGCATGTACGTTACGGCCGACGTATACATGATAATACATGCACGAGTATATACATATGGTGCATGGATAATCTGTGCGAACCAGATCAATGTATTATTTTGTAAGGTATAGTACATATATGGCGGGTACATTATATACACACATACAAGAAGAGGACACATGAAGCAAGAACAAGATAAGTGACAGGGAAGAGATACAGTAAATTACAGTACTTAGGGATAGCTTGAAAACAGTTCTCTGAATTATTCCCTTTGATCACAACATATTAACGTATTCCAAACAAACACACATTCATTGTAGAGTACAGGTAGAGTTATGACGAAGAGGTGACATAATATGAAACTGCAACACCAGACTTACCGTACTGAAGGCTGGAGTAGCCACCACCAGAGAGGAACACCCACTGTCACCAACACTGCGTTCTGGCACGTACAACATGGTTCCTAATTTCTCTGTTAACCCATAACGTATTCCTGCCTCCACCGTCCCATGTAGCTGCCGGGGTTAGAGTCATTATTTCAAAGGCAAGAAATTCGAGTTAGTAATGAGTGGGTATTTTCACTTGTTATCTCTGATATTTTCTTATACAGGGTATTCTTATTCTCTAGTGACGTCTGTTTAATACCAAACACTATATTTTTTTATGTATATTGTAACCTAACCCAACCTAACCTAACCTAATTTATATTTTCATGAAAAAATCAACTACTGTATAGTCAATATATTTATCTTATATATGAATATTTCCCTGCATAGAAGAAACATCTGCTTTTTTACAATTGAGATTGAAAATACGTCAATTCTAACGTCACTTGCTGCTTAGTAAGCTCACACGAGACTTAAACATCAAGGGCAATCACCCATGTAAGCAGTATCGATTATAATGGAATTATAACATATATACCATAAGTCAACCCTTACCATTTTTGTACGTTACATCAACCAAGAGAAATTAACCAATTTACCTTTGCATCCTAAAGCTAGGCTTGGTTAGGGTTTAATACATTTGGTTATGTTAGGTGAATGTTAGGACGTTGGTAGTTGGGGTTAACTTAGTGTTTTCTTAGTTTACGTCTGATAAAGTTAGTGTTTGCTGGGGCTGGCTGGCTCTTTGCGTCATATTTTTATGTCGGAGCCTCCGTCGTGCTCGTGGTAATTTCCAAACATTACAAAAGGTGATAACTCACAATGACAGAGTTGGGCAGGTGGGATGCTAGCCTCTGCTTCAGCATTGGTAGATCCTTCCCGTACACACACCTGAGGTAGTTGCCAGCCATCACCTGTAGGGTTACATATTTTTATTGACAAACATATACTTGTACCTGCAGTAACAAACAAACACACATAAACAAACACACAATAAACACCTGTATTATGTAACTCTTTCCCTAAGGCACCCGACTGTTGGCGAGGGGAAGAAAGACCTAAAATAATCAAAGGCATTCTGTTGAGGTTCTGACCAGACAAGAAAGGTGTTCCTTATATTTAAGAATGGTGATGGGAGAATGTGCAATATTGGAGTTTATGACTGATGGAACGATAAAAACCTAACGTAATCCGCAGAAGTAAGTGAGGGGGAAGGCCCGTAAGCCACGCCCTACGTCTATAGCTACTGACAAGTGATCGTGGGCCCTTTGTGCCCGGTGGCGAGTCCGGTGGTACAGTTTACCGAGGCGTGAAAGTTCGAACGCTTGTGCTTGGCGAGCGCGCAACCGCCGTCCAGCTGACAGAGTACAGCGACATCGTTTTCCAGATGGTCGTGGTTGTTATAATCATGGTCGTGGTTGTTATAATCATGGTCGTGGTTGATATAATCATGGTCGTGGTTGATATAATCATTGTCGTGGTTGTTATAATCATGGTCGTGGTAGTTATAATCATGGTCGTGGTTGTTATAATCATGGTCGTGGTTGTTATAATCATGGTCGTGGTTGTTATAATCATGGTCGTGTTTGTTATAACCATGGTCGTGGTTGTTATAATCATGGTCGTGGTTGTTATAATCATAGTCGTGGTTGTTATAATCATGGTTGGGTGACATAATCATAGTCGTGGTTGTTATAATCATGGTCGTGGGATATAATCATTGATAATCAATCAATCGTAGTCGTGGTTGTTATAATCATGGTCGTGGTTGATATAATCATTGTCGTGGTTGTTATAATCATGGTCGTGGTTGTTATAATCATAGTCGTGGTTGTTATAATCATGGTCCTGGTTGTTATAATCATGGTCGTGTTTGTTATAATCATGGTCGTGGTTGTTATAACCATGGTCGTGGTTGTTATAATCATAGTCGTGGTTGTTATAATCATGGTCCTGGTTGTTATAATCATGGTCGTGGTTGTTATAATCATGGTCCTGGTTGTTATAATCATGGTCGTGGTTGTTATAATCATAGTCGTGGTTGTTATAATCATGGTTGGGTGACATAATCATAGTCGTGGTTGTTATAATCATGGTCGTGGTTGATATGATCATAGTCGTGGTTGTTATAATCATGGTCGTGGTAGTTATAATCATGGTCGTGGTTGTTATAATCATGGTTCTGGTTGTTATAATCATGGTCGTGGTTATAATCATGGTAGTGGTTGTTATAATCATGGTTGTGGTCGTTATAATCATGGTCGTGGTTGTTATAATCATGGTCCTGGTTGTTATAATCATGGTCGTGGTCGTGATACTCACAGTATCTAATATACTATAAGAAGGAATAGAATAAAGGGTAGAATAATTAGTTAAAGAAATATTCGCCATAAGGAGAGGTTAAAATCATAAAAAAAAATATTATGAATCACCGATGATCATTCCGAGATAAATTATATTATGAAGAGAAGTGACCTTGATTCTGGTTAGATTAGTCACCATCTGCTTAAGTCAGTGGTTCCCAACCCCACTTTTTTATCACAAATTTCTTCATGTCCCCCACCCGTTAATTGTTTAGTATGATATAACAATATCAGTTTTGAAGAAGTATAACATAAAAAATTGTATCTTTCAAATAAAACTAAAGGGTTTAACTTCAAATTTAATCAAATAAAATCCATTTTATAATGTGTATAACATATCTACCATCAGATTAAATAAATTCAATTACAATCAATTAATGAGACCCTTGAGCCTGATGTCTACTGCAAAGAGATTTTATCCGAGGCAGAAATTTTGTTAATTTCAATCTCAAGTCGCCTCGTTTAGTGATATCCAGTCGGTTTCTTTTCTTCAGTAATAAGTCATTCACAGCACTAAATCCACATTCCACTAAGTATGACGATGGGAATGGTAACAGTAGTTTTCTTGCCAAACTACTTGTATTTGGATATTTAGCTTGTGTTTCTTCACAGAGCCACATCATTGTTCCTTTTATTTTGAACAGGGCTTTAATCGAGTCATCATTTTGTAATTCTGAAAGTTCTCCTTGATACTCCATGGTTACATCTGACAGATCCACTAGCATTATTCTTAAGTGCTCCACAATAACAAGACAAGTAGCATCTGTTACCTCACATTTATTCAGCCAATAAAATTGTTCAAATTTTTGGACAGAAATATTTTCTTGGGATAATTCCAGAAATGATATAAAGCCAAATATCTTGGCCTTTGAATTAACAAGAGTCATATTTGTTCCTTGGAGCTCCTTATTTAAGACATTGAGTTTTTCAAATATATCTGCTAAATAACTGACAAGTGCTTTACCATCAACTGTCAGTAACAGAGTCATATAAGGTTTGTCATCCAAGAACTCACTAAGAATATCAAATAATTCCATGAATCTTTTCAGGCAATTCCCATTTGATAACCACCTTACATCAGTATGAAGTAATAATCTTACATAGTCTGCATTTTGATCCTTGCAAAATTGTTTGAAAAGACGCTCACATTTGGCATTAGCTTTTATAGTGTTGATGCATTTTATAACTGCATTCAATGTCTCGTTTAGAACAGGGGAAACTTTTTTGGAAACTAAATTCTGTCTATGAATAACACAATGCACTAACAACATTTGGGGATTGTCGTCTTTCAATAATTTTAAAACTCCATTTTTCTTGCCCATCATCACTGGAGCACCGTCTGCAGCACAAGATATAATGTTCTCCATTGGTATCTGCTTATCATCTAAATATGTTTTTAATTTCTTATATATATATCAATTGCAATAGTGGTGGTTTCTAATGCTTCGCAAAATAGCATATCCTCAATAAATTCTCCATTATCAACATATCTTACATAGGCCATTAACAGAGCTTCACTATCTCTTACAGTTGATTCGTCCAACTGTATTGAAAAATTTGTATATTTTAATTTTTCAACAAGTTGTACTTCTACATCACAACTCATTTCATCAATCCTGCTACTAACAGTATTATTACTGAGCGGCATGCTTTTGAGATCTTGGTCATCTTTTTCAAGAACTACTTTCAGAAAAGTTGATATTGCGGGCTTAATTAAATTCTCCCCTATTGTATGATTTTTGCCACATTTTGCTATGAGAAGAGAAATTTCATAACTAGCCTCAAGACCACGATCCTTGCTTGCACTTCTTGCAGAGAACAATGAATTTATTGTTGATCTTTTTTCAAACTTCTCCTTTACGGATTTAAAATACTCCAGTTTTGAATTAACATGAATACTGTGTTTTGCCTTCAAATGATTTTCGAGACGACCTCTCTTCATGGATTCATTAGTCAAACATTGGTGGCACAACAGACAAAAAGGCAACCTTTCATCATGAGTTGCTGGTATGAACCCAAACAGCAAGTACTCATCTGAATACTGGCGAACTTTTTTTTTTGGCGTGCACACTGTTCATTTTATGCATCATGGGGGTAACTGAAAAGTGAAAATAAAATATTTATATACTTAGGAAAATAAATTTAATATCTAACTTCTGTAACATACAAGGCACAATGTCAATATGCAGTTGCCATTTCAAGTAAATATTGAGCTTTATATTCACAGTTTTAAATTAATGTTACTGTGACAAGATCAATGAATGATTATTTTTATACATTATTTTCAGAGAATAACAAGATCAATAATCATAATGAAAAGCACTTTAACCAGCCCTCTCAGTGAAGCTACAAAACAGAGACATATAGTGAGCTTTGTCAGATCAAACTAGCGCCAGTAGAAAAACATACACCTATGAGATTGTTGTTTGTAAATGTGAGACTATGTTATCGCCCCAGGGATTATCTTTGATACCACACGTGATGTTGCTGTCTATATGTGACATCAGTCTCTGTGATGAAGCTTTGGTCTTGGCGGGAGGTGTAATGATTGATTGTCAGACCAAACCTTACAGCCCAGAATTATGCCGCATATAACAGCAAGTACACTACAGACCTCGTGGTACCACCACATTCCGGGTTGACACACCTCAGGTCGACCCAAGGGACTTGACCTCGCCCGCTAATGACGTGAGCCGGGTGACCTACAACCGCACCTAACCAAGACACCTGGCCAGGACCACACCTGCACACAGCTATCCAGATCAAACCAGTTTAGTGTTAATTGGCAGAGGTCAAAACGCCGGCTGTTCCTCCCCCATATAAAGGCCCTGCAGTCCCGTCCACGGAGGGTACTGGTCATACTGATTCTCATTCTGGTTGCTGTCACCTCTCTCCCGTTCGGGTCGTCACTCGGTTCACTAAGCAGTGTCACGCACGTCCCCTCCCCAGGTCGGGAGGGGGACTTCCCGACCAGACCCCAGCTAAGCAGAAGCCTCCCATAGGAGGCAGCCCAGCCAAGCATCCACTTGGCCTACGTCACTACGTCAGGGTATGCGTGAGTCTTGCCAGAACGATTCCTCGGGCGAGTTACCTACTGTGGGAAGTGTATTCATTCAGGTGTGTCCGAGAGTCAGTGTCGAGTAACGTAAAACATAATGTGTTAGTACCCCGATATAATAGTGATATTAATGTGTCCATGTCATTGAGTGAATTAATAAATAGTTGTATCGAAGAGGTGTTTAACAAGTTGTCCCTTTAAGAAGTGATATATGTGTATTGACATACGAGATAAGATAAGCGTATTGACGCTGAGTAAATAACATCCCGGCCAGCTACCAAGTTCCTATCTTTACATTCCTACTCTCTATACTTCTCCTACTTATATGTAATCTTCTCTCATTGTGTTCTGTCTCATTATATTGGTGGCAGCGAACTATGAAGTTAAACCACGCCCCCCTCGTCCCTTGTTATTGGTAACAGTGTACTTAACGTAAACCCATGCCCTCCCCCGTTAACCATAACACCTGGCTCGTTAGTTCAAAAGTGCGTGATAAGAAGTTCCTGCGTAGTAGGGTGAAAAGTGTCCTAGTGTGTCTCCATTACAGCTCAAGTAAATGTCTCTCGTCGTGGTATGCACGAATTTTTACTAGAAATATGTTCAGTGCTTAACGTAATTTCTCAGTGTCCCCCGCGATCTGTGACATTCTCAGTAGCCCAAGTGCAGTTTGATTGTTGGTCAGTGTTAAATGTAGCCATTGTGTTTCAGTGATGAAAGCTGTGTCTGTACTAACTGTTATAACTTAACATGTCTTTTAACCTACATCCTCCTCCCTGTCCTAATCCTCACCTCACCCTCCTTACCCTTCCTCCCATCCCTGCCCCGCCCTGCTCCGCCCCTCCGTTCCGTGCCCCTCCCCGCCCCGCAAAGCCTCGGCCTGGCCCCATCAACCACGCCTCGGCTCCTCCCCACCTCACCTGCAACGCACCAGCCTGGCTGGGCCTGGCCAGCCTCGCCTCGCCCAGTGCCGCCCCGCCCCGCCTCGCCCCAACCCGCTCGTGTGACCTTACGTCCTTCTGACCCCCCCCGCCTCGCTTGACCACACTAATCCCCCGTCTTTTGTCCCGTAAGCTGTGTGTTGATGATGATGGTTAATATAAAGTAATATTGCGATGAATGCAGAGCTTCACTCAGTGTATTTTTATGCTATTAAGATTTGTGATGTACTCTTTGACGCGCAGTGATAAATGATATTCAGTGTAGTGCGCAGAGCTTCACTCCCCGACCCAGCCTGATGAGAACATTGTAGTGACGGAAATGATAGTTGCCAGACATTGACGTAACGTGTAAAGTAAAAATTTTTTTGCGAATGCACTTCCAACTAATCCATCATCCCTTTAGGATTGTTTCTCTGTCAAATGTCACACACAGTACCACCCATGGCCAGCCGGCCGTCAACCACAGTACATACGAGCAGAGAAGAAGCAGCGTGATGAATGCAGTACTCAACCCACCACACACCACGTCACTTCTGTCAAGTCCTCCCTTGGTCTAGGATTAAGAAGATTTTATATTTTTCTACTTTAGGAAGTTAAGGAGTGTGGAATGCAGCGCCACAACGAACCCTGGTGAGCCCAGCCAGGGAGGGATTCACCACTGTGGAAGGTGTAAGACAGGACGGTCTTTGGTCTCGCCGACACTCACGTACGGAGGGCGAGCCTTGGTCCGCGGAACCTGCCTTACAGTCATCGAAGGAGACGACAGCCCAAGCAGTGGACCGGCCTTCATCCCGGCCGGAGGTGGCCGACGGCAGATGAACAGAAAATCGTCTGGAATATGAAAATGAAGATGTATAAAGAAACGCAGATGAGCAGAAAAATCGTCTGGAATATGAAAATGAAGATGTATAAAGACACGCAGATGAGCAGAAAAATTCGTCTGGAATATGAAAATGAAGATGTATAAAGAAACGCAGATGAGCAGAAAATTCGTCTGGAATATGAAAATGAAGATGTATAAAGAAGCACAGATGAACAGAAAAATCATCTGGAATATTATAGAAACCAGGAGGAAGTGAGAAGAAGTCAGATGATGTGGTGACAAGACCTACAAAGCGCGGTATTGAAAAAAGAAAAACGTGCTATGTGAAGAAAGAAGACAGAAGACACGCTGTGCTGACATCAGAAGAAAGTCGACGATGACAAGGTGGATAATCAGAAGGACCAACCGACTACAGCTGCTGAGCTGCCGCCATCCCCTATTTTTCAGATACCAACTGGATGGAAGACGTGAGCTATGCCGGACCCAACTAATGTACTGATGTTGTTGATGTATAATAAAAAAATATCAATACCCTAATATGTGAAGTAGGAACATTTTTTGTGTATTTTGAAGTATTTTCTCTGATTTTTGTTGATGTTTACTACAAAGAATGTCTTTTTTTAGTCTCACTTTTTTCTATGAGTCATTTGATCAATGTTTTGGACTATGAAACACGATGTTGCAGCCATATTACTGACTGAGATGAATTATTATTTTGACATGGGCTGATAAGGAGATGTAACACCTGTTGTTGTTTTGATTTGCAAGTTGTCTCGGATACAAATCTAGATATGAAGGATTTTTTCATCCTATGTTCACTGGCTATGTTTCCTTTTTCTCCTGGCATAGAAGCTTTGATCTTGGAGGGAGGTATAGTGAGCTTTGTCAGATCAAACTAGCGCCAGTAGAAAAACATACACCTATGAGATTGTTGTTTGTAAATGTGAGACTATGTTATCGCCCCAGGGGTTATCTTTGGTACCACACGTGATGTTGCTGTCTATATGTGACATCAGTCTCTGTGATGAAGCTTTGGTCTTGGCGGGAGGTGTAATGATTGATTGTCAGACCAAACCTTACAGCCCAGAATTATGCCGCATATAACAGCAAGTACACTACAGACCTCGTGGTACCACCACATTCCGGGTTGACACACCTCAGGTCGACCCAAGAGACTTGACCTCGCCCGCTAATGACGTGAGCCGGGTGACCTACAACCGCACCTAACCAAGACACCTGGCCAGGACCACACCTGCACACAGCTATCCAGATCAAACCAGTTTAGTGTTAATTGGCAGAGGTCAAAACGCCGGCTGTTCCTCCCCCATATAAAGGCCCTGCAGTCCCGTCCACGGAGGATACTGGTCATACTGATTCTGATTCTGGTTGCTGTCACCTCTCTCCCGTTCGGGTCGTCACTCGGTTCACTAAGCAGTGTCACGCACGTCCCCTCCCCAGGTCGGGAGGGGGACTTCCCGACCAGACCCCAGCTAAGCAGAAGCCTCCCATAGGAGGCAGCCCAGCCATGCATCCACTAGGCCTACGTCA